AGCGGCCGCCCAACGCCTGCGGCCCAGCCGGGGGGTGGGTGGGGGCGCAGGCCCCAGCCCTCCTGGCTGCCCCTGGGGCGTGCTCTCCACCACCAACAGTGCAGACAACGCTGGGCGCCAAGAAGAGGCCTCGCTCCTGATCCTAGGGGCCCGCCGGCAGCTGGGTCGCGCATGTGCGCCGCCCGTCGTGCTCAGGACGCTTCTCCGCAGGTGCGACTGGGCTCTTCAACCGTCTTCAAAAACTCGCACCCTCGGGTTGAGGGCAGGCCGGAGGAGACGTTCGCTAGTAACGGCAGGAGGCATTTTGGCGGCCGGAGGATGTGTTGAGGGCAGACCTGAAGAAGACGGATGACCGCCGTTAAGACTTGGGAGGAGCGGTTTGGGCGACGGGCTCCGACGTCCACCGGGCGGCCTCACGTTTTGAAGGAAACGGTCTCGCCCTCGCAGTGGAGGACAGAGAGCAGAGGGAGGGAAATCGGGCCTGCAGCTTCTACGGACGGGTCCACGGTTCACGGATAGGACTAAGTTGCCTCGAGACCCATCGACGAGCCATGGTAGAGATCTTCAAATCAAGGCATTGCTGCTGCGGCCAGCCATGATGGCAAATTCACGAGGCTGCGGCTGGACCATCACGGCTGCGGCATCGCTTTGACATTGTTTTTTTAAACGTAGCTGTGCTGGCTAACGTCTTCTAGCCTGGCTTTGCCAAAGGGTCCGATACAAACGACCAAGAGATTTGAACAACTGGCATAGGATGGTTTGGAAAGGGGGCTGCAGATGACGACCGCTGGAGGTCCCTTCCATCCTGACTTCTCCAGGATGATCCTGTGACTTCGCTAGTACAACATCTGGATGCCACGGCGGCACGCCGCATCAAGACCTTGCAACGCATTTCCCAAGCCCCCAAAAACTTATTTCAGGATTGGTGAATGAGTCGAGTGGCAGCTTTCTACTGCTGCCTTGACTGAGCGTGGGAGGAAAGAAAGGACACTCTATAAATACATTTATATGCTAAAAGGCACAAGCAGTGAGCAAGCACAGATGCATTTGCTTCTCATAAACTTTGTAGATTTAGTCACCCTGAGATTATTTTCATATGCCCTTGCAAGCAGGATTTTCCTCCTTTATTCAATTAAGCCTAAACTGGAGTGTTTAAAAGAGAAAATGAAATTTACAGGAGATCTTTTCCCTTGCTGCTCATCTAAACTCAGCAGCTGGGGACAGAGATGGGATGCGGGGAGAGGGCAATTAGGAACCCAAGCCCCTTTCCGACTAGAAGCAGATGGTTTTCTCCATGGTGACTGAAGATCAGGACAGTACTAGGAGGAGGTGTTCTGCTGCAGTGCTCAGAACCGACTCCTCTAGGCTGCTTTGGATACAAGCAAAAGCCCTCCAAAGTTTTAATGCAGCCCTTTGGTCGTTAGAGTAATTATCTCCCTGCACACAGAGAGAGTTGTTTGCAGCGTTATTAAGTCACACATCCCCAAGGAGAAATTCAACACTTTGAAGGAACTACAAGAAAGCAGAGATCAGCATTAATACAGGAGTACCGGTGTGGTTTCCATTAAGCAGAAGAAGGATCTTTGGGTAAAACTGGGATTCGAGTGCGAGAATGGCAACATGGCAGTACTTCTGTGGGCCCGATTTTTAGAGGGAGAAGCAGCCCTGTACTTCAAGGTGTGAACAATGACAAAACACCAGCAGTTTAGAATCTGGCCCCATCTCCTTAAAGGGCAGGTCAGTGGTTAGACCAAAGGATTCAGAGGCAACCGATTTAGGGTCTAATAGGGACTCTGCCCACGGGTTCTCTACCTAGCTGGTCTTTGGCAACTTGCTTACGTTCTACACCTCATTCTCACATCACGATCAGGTTAGTAAATACATTTTAAAGTACTGCGGTATCCCTGCTGAAGGTGCTATGGTATACAAGTGCAAATTTATGCCCAGAAGCAGAAAGGACATGTCCTCAGAGGTGAAATTAGCTAAAGATACATATTGTGGGGTTTTTTCCTTACAGTATTGGTTGTGGGCTGGTTGTGTTGTTTTTATTCCCCCCCTCCTCATCATATCACTTCTGCAAGATCCAAAATGATCTTCTAGTAGCCTTATACCTTACATAAAGTGTCATACACAAAAAGGGCCCTGCCTAAATCATATTAAGACACACTGAATAATATTAAGTGTATAGCTATTCATGTATGGCAGCCCTGCATCTTATGCAACTTGCACTTCAGATTTAGATCACTACAAGTTGCAAGACAAAGCTTCTAATGAGTGGAAGGGGGTGGGAAAATGCCTCCTTCTCCTCTCCCCAACTAATTATGCAAAAAAAATAAAACAATACAAAAATAATAATAATAATATTACTAGAACTGGGAGATGAGTGCTTCATTTATTTATTTTATGTAGGTCCCTGTAGAGTCCTAATCTCCGCAACTTCCAAAAATTTACATGAGAACTGTCAAGTGCAGTGCACATTTTAAAACGTTAAGTTTAAAGTTTGGGGTTTTTTATATTTTACATATGTCTTGTATATGTACATTAAGCTATTGGTTTATAAAAATCAGGAGAGATGAGGTCAAACAAGCATGCCTTGTACTTGGAGCTGAAAGCAATGGGGTCTCTGATGGTTCTTGTGCTTATGCAATAGAAAGAACCAAGAGAATGTTGCTGATCCAATTTAAAAATTAACCAGTCTTTGGAAAGATAGTGATGGGGGGAAGTGTCCAGCATTGCACAAGATTGAAGTCAGGGAACTGGCTAGGTGAAACCTTGAATATTAGTATACTTATCCCTACATATTATACTGTTCCCCCCCACTTACAAGTGGCTTCAAATCATCTAAGCATCCAGCCATGAAGAGTGAGAAACAGCCTATTTTCCCAGTAGGCACAGGTGCTCAAATAATTATTTATTAGTGGAATAAAGAGAAGGCACAAAAAAGCAAGTCCTTTTTCCTCAGCATTGTTTGCATTTCTGAACTGTTCCAGTTTTTGCTCCTTTTTCATTTACGTGATAAAAATATTCCCCTGTTGAGTATGAAGAGTCAGTGGATTATATCATCGCCTGGGGAATCTCTCCATGGAATAATATAAAAGAAAATGGTACACTTTGAAAGTAAAGTTCTAAAAAGGAAAGTGGATGAGACATCTAGCGGACAACACCAAGCACAACTTGAAGTGAACAGCACAAACAAGCATCACCTTCAGTAACACCATTACTTAAATAATGGAAGATGAAAAAGGACTCGGTGGCAATCAGTGTATGACTGCAAGATGGAGAGGGCAGTTTTTGCAGCCTCTAAAACTGCTACAGCCAATTCCTCTTCTCCCCTTATTTATATAGTCTAATTCGGGAGAACAGTTCTGGTTTTTTCCAGCACCCCAAACATTTATACAAGTAGAATTCTCTCCATGTTCTTGAACTACTGCCACTCAAGAGTTCACAAGCCTGTCTTCTTTGCCTCTAACAGAACGTGGAAGCTAGGTTTACTCTTAATGCGCTATTATTGAGATGATCCGAGTGACAACCTACTTGCACCTGGTCCAGGTTCTTTTCCTGCTCTAACTGACCAGAAGGAAAAAACAAAACCAAACAAAAAACACCAAACAAAACCAACACCGTTTTCATCACACAAGCCTTGTTTACAGAGTGAAAACACCCAACAGAAAATGAAACCTTGGGTATCTTGAAAAATTACAATATACTGAAATATGTTACTTTTGATCCAAAGCCACATTGGTGTTAAGTCTAAACCAAAGAGGTTTTTCAAACAAACGGTGCCCCTCAATCCCCACAGCTTATTAATCAAACACATTTCACTAAGTACTCCAAATCCCACCCTCTTACTAAAGGGAAGACATGCAAACTGCATTTGAATATATTATCTGGTCAGAGGGAACCCTCCCTCCACTCCCCTCAGGTTCACCTTGACCAACTAGACCAGCGTTTCTCAACCCATGGGTCACCACCCAAAAGGGTCGAATAAGCTTGGATTCTCCTTCAAAAGGAGAAAGACGTGGGAAACTGGCTGGCACAGTTCCAGCCAGCAAGGGGCTGCTTGAGGCCCCCCCATACTGTACATGAGGGGGCTAGGGAGTGAGGGGCACTGGGTCAGGACTGGCCACTGATGTTTACAAATGGGTCCTGGTACAGAAAAGGTTGAGAACCACAGAACTAAACCATGTTAAAAATACAACAACTTGTCCCATTTACCCTAGTTTTTCTTTTAAAAAATCAGTTTAAAAAAAAAAATCCAACATACTTTCTATCCTGCAGTCAAACCCTGGACAAATACTAGGAAGGGCTGTGTTATTTTATCCCTGGGAAGGTTATACTAGTATATCAGTTCAGGTGTGAATTTAGGCAGATATATTAGCATGACTCCTGGTGCTGACATCAAGTCTGGTAAAAGGCTGCCTTTTTAGTTTTTGTCAATTTGGAAGATGCTCAAGCTAAACCAAAGAAAGGCACTCAAATAAGCATGTGTCCACATCAGGGGTCTTATCATTTCACACTAAGCCAGTAAGTTATTCAACTATAGGACTACATAAATGACTTTCCTGTATTGGGACCTACCTAAAAGGTAGTCCAGTTTAAAGTTCAGAAGGAAAGACAGCTAACTGGAGAAAAGAATAGCATCAAGTGAAAGTACTATCCTCCCACCTTAACTCCCTCTGGCTGCTTAGTGTACAAAGTTACAGCAATTTGGACACCCATGTCACTATGATTTAAATTACCTTATCAACTGCTGAATTTGTTCCATTTATTTTTGCTTCACCATCTTTCTTAGTGGAAATCCTAAGCAAGCAGGGATCAGGAGGAAGGGAGGTGGAAAAGAAGGAGCACATTAATGTCTAAGTAGATAACAGAATATATTCTATTATTTAAAGACATACAGGAACCACAACCCAAGCAGTCAGAGGTGGTACTGTAACATTCTAGCTGGTGTATGAGGCATCAAGTCGTACAAGCTCATGATAAGACTTACATCGGTCCCCTTGATGCATGCGATTCTATCGGTGCCACAGGATAATTGAAAGGACTCTGAGAAGTCAAGCCCTTAACAAAACAAAACCCACACACTAATTCAGATCACTGCCAGTCCTTTCCACTAAAGAATGATCAGATAAAAAAAATCCTTAAAAATAAGGAGGCAAAACCCTTAGAAGTAAGGGAAATGATTGATAACCCCTAGCATTTGGGGGGGAGGGGAGGGGAGGGAAGGGGGTGTCAGGGCCAGTATCTTCCACAATCCAATCAATATCCTCTTTCTAGGATCAGAAGGATTAAAACTCTTTGTCCAGCCTCAATTAATTACCCATACAATCCCAAAAGAGATTAGTATTATAAACCCTCTCAACTAGTTCTCAGGTTGCTAGCAGATGGAGGTACTCAGGCCCTCCTCCGTCAATAAGCTCCCCTCCCTGAACTTAATTTATCTAGCCAACTGCCTTCTTGTCGACCTCCTACTTCCTGTCTGTATCAGTCGTGACTGTCACACTCCTCACCGGGCTGATCACCTCCGTCACAGTGATGATGCCTGTGGCGCTTGACCATTCCTCTCAAGTCTCCAGAGGAAGTTCCAAACTCCCTCTCTCACTGAGAACTGTCTTCAGACTGCCCAAGGCCTTCCTTTTATCTTCCAGTTGTAGGCAAGGCCCACTTCATGATTGGCCAGCCAGATCCTGGTTACTGTAGGGTCCTAGTTTCCCCAGCGTACCCATTAACACTTGCTGTGTAGGGTTCACCAAAGTAAAAGAGATGGGACACTGGTGATTGTGAACACCAGGAATAAGTTGATGGAGAGCTTGCTTGGAGTGCAGTGATTCCATGAGAGGCCTGCTATTCAGCAGCCCCAGACCTCATGAAAAGAAAAATCATTCCTAAGAGGGGTCTGCAGTCCATCCTTACTAATTGGGTTTTCTCCTGAATTAGGTACAATATTTTCTTCTGTAAAATAGAACAATAAAATGCTGATTTTTTGGTGGACTTACAGTTCTGATGAGAGAAGTCATAGGGACACAGGACTGGAAGGGACCTCCTGTGTCATCACAACTAGTCTCCTGACACGCAACCATGTCACACAACCACATTCATAAACTAAGCAAGCTCCATTTTAAAAGCAGCTAGTTTTCCTGGCCACACTACTTCTATTGTCAAAAAGAGATTAAATGTTCAAAGTAAAAGTCAACCCAACTTATAGTACAGAAATTTTTGGAGTCAGCTACACTCTAAAATATATATTGAAACATTAGACACATGCACCTTGATCTTCAGTCATTTATAAAATGCTCATCACCATAGCGTTTCAATCACTGATCCTCAATTGGACGAGCATCTGCCCATGCAAACTAATTGCAGGACTGGGGCCTAGCTCCGAACTTGCTAGTAATCTACAGACTGCCTTATAAAGAAAACACCACTTTTTGTATTGCATCTCAGCTCAAACTCTCTTCTCATTTTCAGAATATTTCTTTTTGCATTTAATTTATTTGAAAAATTGAGAACCAGCTAGCTGAGGTATGAGGTGCAAGCTGAGTGGCTTAACTCCAGCCACAGAGCTGGTAATTATTGTAATTGGTCCATTTGAAGCACAATATATCAAGTGGGATAGAGAGTTCAAATTCATGCCAGTCCATCTCTGGTTGGCACAGACAGCTCTATCGGGAGGATATAGAAGCCTCAACAGGATTTATATTGGCAATGATTCAAGAATCCTCTTTTCCAGATGGTTTTGAAGAGATCTGAGTGGGAGGGAAGCTAATTTTAAGGACTGAAACTACCTAAAATGGATTGATGCCCATAGCTATCCCGTCTACAACACTGACTACCAAAGCAATTCAAGAAAGAGGGATTAAAATATTATCGCTATAAAGAAACTTTTAGCAGGTTTTACTAAAAATGCCCCGATTGCTACAAAGTTATCAAAACATTTACCCTGCGCAGAACCTCAAGAGTAAAAGGCACAGTCAATTATTTACACAATGCGTGTTCCTCTGCAAACGATTAGATCGAGTTACAGCAATCCTGGCACGCGGACTGTACGTGCAGTACCACAAGCGCCAGGTAAATAGGTTCTGGGAACGAAAGGACAACTTACTTTATAATTAAAAAAACATGAAACAAACCCCACAGGAAGCAGGATGAGGGGAGCTGTTTATATCCTGCAAATACATATTCCAAGATATTTCTAGGGTGTTCATCCCTGTAGCATGACGCACAATAATCAAAGGTTTGCACAGAGCGTTTTCCACAATGGAGTCTGCTCTTCTCTGCTTCTATGTTCAGCGTTTTATTATATTATTAAACAACACAACACACCACAATGATAACACTGCAGAGGTTTGGGCATTGCAGGCACACTTAGGCTAAATGGTGAATTTTGTGTTGTGGTCCAGTTCCTACTCATAATTCATTTTTAAAAAAGAACAACAGTTGAACACCTGGGTGGAACGGGGTATCTTTCTGCCCGGGCCCTGGCCAGGCCCATAGCTTGCCCACCCACTGGGAGTCTCTAGCATAGCGGCCCTCCACAGCACCTGCCTGGGTCCTGGCCTTGCCCACCAGCAGCTCCCTCCAGGGGCCAGGGCCCAAGCAGGCACTGTGGAGGGCTGCTGTGTTGGAGGCTCATGGCCAGGTCAGCCAAGTGCTGCCCAAGGCAGCTATTCCTGAGGTCTGGGGGACTCCCACAGCTGGGCCCTTGCACCAGGGGCAGCTGAGGCCAAAGCTGAGAACCCCCTGAGCTCAGTGTCCTGCCCTGGCCAGGCAGCATTCCCTTGTGTGCAGGTCAGCTGCAGCCCATCCCAGCGGAGCTGCACAGGTTAGGCTGCGCCGAGCCCCACCTCGGGTGCCACTGGGTCCCTGCTGGCCTCCTGCAGCCTGTCTGCAGAGTGCTGGGGCAGCCCCCACTTCCTGCCAGCCCCCTCTCTCCTCCAGATGTTGCCTTCCCAAGGGCCCAGTCAGGCTGGCCTGCCTGCAGCACCTCTCCCTCCTCCTTCCCGCTCTGCCTGGACACTGCTCCGAGCACCCTGGGCCCAGGCTCCCCCTGTTCTGGGATCGTTGGGGTGGCCGAAGCACCCCGATGCTAGCGGCTGCTGCTGGAGTGTCACTGTCTCCATCCACTGGCACCCTGGACCAGTGGGCCCAAGCCACAGCCAGTAGTGGTGGGAGACATGGGCAGCAAAGGATACATCCTCTTTCTCTTCTTCCTTTTTCTCTCTTCTTTGTTTCTCTCTCTTCTTCTTTCTTCTCTTCTCTCTTCTTTTTTCTTCTCCTCTCCTCTCTTTTTCTCCTTGCTTTCTTCCTCTTTCTTTCTTCTCCCTTTTTGTCT